TGCAGACCAGGAGGATGCTCCTGATGCCCTTCCTGTCTCCTTCACTGGACCACTTCACCTCTTCACGACATTGGCATCACGTTCTGCAGAGGAGGAAGGAATCCAGTTCCATCCATTCCTCCTACAGATTAAAGCTCTCTGAGGTGCTGTCATCCCTTTCCCCATCTCCTACTAAAATTGGTACTTAATTTCCCTAGTTTGCAAATGCAGATTTATTGGTCCAACATGCACTCATGTCATCCAATGCATTTTTATGTTTGTATATTTAATTTTTTCTTTTCCATTCCTAAACATGAATGGCAGGCCATTTGCTTTGCTGGTTGGGATTTCATGCTTATGCATACGCAGCTGTGAGCTGGTGTCAAAGCTAGTGGGACACAGGACAGTTAGTGGGCAGCACTTTCGGCTCGAGTATGGAACACTGGTCAACAGCAAGTTAGTAGAAACCCTTTCCTTGGAGACTTTGGTGCCCTACAGGGCTTCCCTGTGTCCAGATTATGTTATGGGTGTATGCGCTGGATGACTTCCAAGATCTGACTTAGTCCAGCTCAAGTTGTGGATCTACTGACCATTGGATTTGCCTCCTCCATATAGCAATATTAGAAGTAGGGCCTTATCTTTGTAAAAAAATCTAAAAGTATTAATCACCTATTTCAGAACTAAAATAGAGCTCATAGATTGTCTTTGTCACCTCATTCTACAAAAGAGAAACCAGCCTCATGAGGGTAAGGTACGTCCCTGGTCACACAGCCATTAAGAGCAGGGCAGGATTTAAACAGAGATCTTCCCGCAGCTCCCCTACTGGATGGAAATGCGGGTGGGTCAGGCTGTCCTGCAGGCCCAGCTGGACTCAGATGCAGTGCTCTGCAAGAGCTCCCTTCCAAGAGCACTCAGGATTCCCTCCAGTTCGGTCTCTAAAATTATCCAGGCATCACAGCGTTGTATCCAAGAGCAGAGGCCGATACCCACCCCCCGAGGCAGCGCCAGGGTCATAACTTAACCTGCATAATTAGAACACCCATTCCTGAGGGGGGAGACATTGAAAAGATAAAGAGCCTCTTTAAAACAGATTCTCCCCAATGCATTTTTTTCATAATTATAGCTTTAAGAGCTTATGGTGATGGGAAAGCTGGCTACTTAAGAAAAATTAGGAGTCTCATTTGGTAGGAAAGGATTCCCTGGGGGACAGCGTGCTGTCATTTTTCAGGGCCCCTGAAAAGAAGCCCCCGCACAGACATCTGCACGTTGGCTTGATTCATGGCAAGCCTGCTTCACTTACTATGACCAAAGCCAGATATTTTAATTAAAAACACTACACATGCCATTAAATGTGTTGTTCTCCCTCCGGCTCCGAGATGGTAGAGTTTGCAGAGATACAAACAAGTGAATCCATTACAGATGTGTTGGAAACCAAGGCCTTCTGAGTCACAACCAGTAGGTTCCCAAATTCCGCCCTATAAGCACCTCGTGGTGAAAGTGCCCTATGCAGGCAAACTGTCTGTCTGTCATTTTCTCAGCATCCAGCAGTTGCCATGGCGGAGAGGGAGGGAGGGGCGGCAGGAGAGCCAGGAGAGAGCAACCCATATCGCCCCCTCACTTAATGTATGAGCGGAGCATATTATTTCCCACACAACCTTCATGATAAATAAAAGCCCTGTGGCCCCATGAGTGACTGCTCTGGGTTGTTTGTTGGTTTTTTTCCCCTTGTTTGTTAATGTTATTTATTTATTTATTTTTGAGCACAAAAGTTGCATTTTGGGGGTAATCACACCCCCACTTTAGCTCAGGCGGGGAACTCCAAAAGGCAATGCTTGTTTAGTTTATAACATCATAGACTGCCCCAGTGCAAAGATTTCAGCTGAATGTCACTGTCACTAGCTAGAGCACCTTTCTTTTCAGTTCAGTACCAACAGCTGGGTTTCATTTTCGGATGCCAGGCTGACCTGCATCTCCTCAGAGCAGTGCACGACCGAGGGCCTTCCCTTTAAGGATTTTATTCTAGGTGACAGCTCCTCACACACTGGCCCTCTGATCACCTTAAGTAGCCAAGATATCAGTGGGGACGAGTGGGCACCTCCCGCAAAGCCAAAACTTAGATTGACTGAGGTTATCCTTAGGCCCAGTAACCCCAATGCTCCCACAGACCAGGGCTGCCAGGAACGTCACAGCTGCAGTTTTGTGATGACGTCTGGAGAAGAGTGTTCTGCAGGGGCAGACGGAGGAGACCCCGAGTGGTAAGATGTGATGTCAGCTTGCGTTAGCGCAGCAGACAGCGCTATAGTTTCCTTGGCATAATATGGCGCTGGTATCTCTGTCAGGATCTCTGTTTGCTGTCACTGCACACAATCCTGGGTCTGTCTGGAGTCCTGACAGTGTCTTTTCAGATCAGGTTATTGCCAGCACAGAGAGGAGCTCAGCTCCCCAACATACAGCCCCTTTGTTTGAAGTCTGCCCTTTTGTCATTAATGCACTTGATGTCTATTTAAATCTGGCAGTGAGTGTGGTATCTGTTTTCCCGTCAAAAGATCATTGACAATATTAATACCGCATGTCCTTGCCTCCTTTCCCAAGCTCTGACACCTAGCCATGATCTCCTGCATTTACCCAGCATCCTCTCTCACTGGGATGACTCTATAAACATACTTGCTTCCAGGCCCAAAGAAGCAGGGAAGTTCTTAAGGACTTTTCTCAATGCCAAGCAGAAAGCAGGTCTGGGAAGGTGGCTCAGAATGTATCCAGGCCCCTGTTTCAGGAGCATTGCTTCCACCTGATTGCCTGTGGGTGAGATGAGAGTAGAAGTTCACAGTGGAGAAAGGTAAAGACAAGAAAACACATCCCCAGACGCACTGGAGAGTTGGCTGGAGACAGGGCACCCCTTGGGGGCAGGGCGTGTGTGTGTGTGTGTGTGTGTGTGTGTGTGTGTGTGCATGCACACACACACAAGCATCTGCCTTCCATGCTTTCACTCAAGAGAAAGACTGTCCTCTTCATGATATCTGACAACCCTATCCATTTCTTTTTATAAAAATCTATTCTGTCCCGGAAGCACAGAAAGCGACTTACACTCTTTGGTCTCATCCTCCCAGATTCTTGAGGGAATATTCGAATCTGTGGTGCCTAAGGCAGTCCTCTGAAGCTTTTCTCACATAGTGGGGCACTACCACCCAGATATGTAGGCCATGCCATTCCTGAGACAAACTTCCCTGGCCCAGCCCACAGAGCCCCGGGATCCTGGTACTAGTGACAATGCTAGCACAATGCTGGATGCTACTTACCAGTTTAATAAATAAAAGGCTACAGCTCAGTGCCAGCAACAGAGTAATTTAGCCCCCAAGAAGGGTCTCAATAAGTTTTCACTCAAGCTCAGTACTTCCAGGCTCAGACCAATGCTGAAAAGCAGAAACTGGAGATTGGAGACCAAGGATAAAGCACAGCCAAGAGGACAGAGGAAGCATCATGACATTGCTCTGGAGAATGTGCAGGAAGAAACGCAAAGGAGCCGTGGAACACTTACCTGGTCCTTCATCCACTCCTAAAAGATCGTGGGATCAGAGCAATTTCCACCTTTGTCCCAATCTGTCCAAACCAGGGAGCATCTGTCCCGCTCTTAGAAGTGTCTAAGAGTCATACTAATTCTTTAAAAGCAAAGGTGAAGGTTCTGTAGCGAAGAATCAGCTCTGTTACAGTAACAGAAATATTTAAGAGATAAAAATTCTGATGTGAAGAACCTGGCAAATTTCAAGGGCTAATTTATCCCAAATTAAGCAAGAAGGGTGCTTGCTCGCTGATTTCACAGTCTCACACTGGTGAAAAAAAATTATGCTTATAGGTAGTTATTTTCACAGGCAGATTAGTGGCTCATGAATTAATGTTTTATGGACATTCTCTTTGTTTCATTTCCCTCTAGCTCAGTACACTTCAGAGATTTGAGTCCTATTAGTACTAAGACAACTGCATCTAACTAAATTTTTAGTTTTTCTTAAAATGGGAGGAAAAAAAAGATGACGAAAGGCAAAATGAAATTATAAGTATTTTCTTGGAAAAACTGATTTTTGCCTTAATAATCCTATAAAGCTTTTACAATAACAATGGCCTGTGATTTTTTATGAATATTTAGAACTGATAATGAATTGATTAGGAAGTTTTCACCTAGCTAAGTGGCGTATGTCCACAGTTTCATATACTCATGAGGCTGATGCAGGAGGATACAAAGTTTGAGGTTGGGTGGGCAACTTAGCAAGACCCTGTCTCAAAATGAAAATAAATAGATTAAATAAGTAAATAAATAAATAAATAAATAGGCTAAAGATGTAGCTCAGTGTAAAGGCCCAGGGCTCAATCCACAGTGCCTAGCTCCCTAAAAAGTTTAACTCTATCCTAGGCATGTTTTTCATAGTTAAGTCTCATATGATCTCTTTGAATTCTGAGAGTAAGGCTTTATCCTGAGGCACAAATTCCATAAAGTAAAGCTGAAGGTGGAAATTAAATATAGTCTAACCTGAGTCAATGCCAGTAAGAAGACACTACCAGGGGCCCTTGTGACTGCCGTGTGATATGTCACCGATGCCACCACTGTTCCTGAATCATCTCATATTTGCTCGAAGAAAGGACTTTGTGGTGGTCACTATCTGGGAAGATTTTCCTCCAGCTTTTGCTTGGGCTGAGTCCACCTTTAAGCTTTTGGTTTTCCATCGAAGGAATTCTAGGGTGAAAACCAGGTGAGAGGAAAGGGCTGTGCTATGTTTGGGAGAAGAACCGTCCCTTACATGTGGGAATCACGCAGAAAACGTTTTTCCTAAGGACCTATGCTTGGTAGTGATGTTTTATTTGAATGTCCCCTCTGAGGACAAGGAGGTGGCCTTTCCTTCTTGGGGTTTAATGCATTTTCTGTCACCTGTTAGGTTGGATGTCACCAAATCAGGCATCTGCTTTGAAGTACCTGTGCTTCCTGACTGTACTAATTCTGCCACCTGTAATGATGTGTTTCTTTTTGTTTACAGGTGTCCTGGGAAAGTGTCACTATATTTACTATGGGAAAAACTCTGAGGGCAACAGGTTCATCCGAGATGATCAGCTCTGAAGACAAACTCTGTGTGCCTTTGCCTATTTTGTGAAAATGAAAGGAAAAGGGAAGCAAAAATAAAAAGCCCAAGAAAGAAACGATGACCCACCTCGTGTCTCTGGGGGAAGGCTGTGGCTTCAGCTGTTGGTTCCTTGTGCTGACTTTGCCAGGCTCGTCAAGATCATCCTTCTGCCTTACACTGAGTGGTCACAGAGAGATTGACATGATTGCCCTTAAGCAGGTCTCATCTACCAGGGTGACAGACAGTAGCAGCGAAGCACCAGGGCTGACAGCATGAACACCATGATAAATTGCCTGGTCCCTCCACTGCTCACAGGGGAGCAGAGGTCACACCTGGGGCCTCCCCGAGCATGCTCAGTAGCTGTAGTCTAGGGAGAGAGACTGTCTTCTACTTGCCTGCTAAGTCAAGATTCCTCTTATACCACTCTGCTGTAAGTTTCTTATTAGTGGAATAGTCCCAGTTTAGGGGAAGGCCACTTAAACTTTAGCCTTTATATTCTGCATACACACAGCTCATATGCTTGCCCCTTTCCCCTCTCCAATACTTTAGCATCATCTTTAACACAGGTGATATGCACCACGTGCAGTTTTTCAGAGAACAGAAGGGATAACCTCTCAGCCAGGTCATGCATTCATGGCCAGCTTCACGTTGCTATATTGGATTAAATTGCTTTCCCTAAATCCCTGACTACAAAAACATGAGCTTTATCTTATTTCATTTATTTCCAAATCCACTTCTTGCCTGAAACGCAACACAGCAAGAGGTATCTTTCCCAGCATAAGGGTTTGTTTGCACCAGGGACTCTTATTTATTTTTAACCACACACACACTTCTAGCTATGCCTATGGCCATATTTGTGCTGGGGGCTGGTTTGCTCCTTCGGGTGCTATTTAAAAGTAGTGAGGTGATGAAAGATAGAGTAATGGGTCAGGAGGTTGAAAAACAAAATGAAGACTACAGAAAATACCCACTAGATCACGTGGTTTTTATAAAAGGCACAACCCTTTTGAATTTCATGTGTTTTTTTCTCAGGACCTCTCAGAAATTAGAGCTACAGTTTAAGAGCCATTGCTATGTCACTGTGTATCTTTGGCGGTATTCTAGCACCAAAGTCACAAGGGAAATAAGCACTATCATGCTAGTTGGGTGACTGCCATTTATTGAACTTACGGTGCACAGGTCAAACGGCTCCGGGAGATACTGCAAAGACTGGTTGCTGTTTGACACAATAGCATTTATTTTTGCTTCTTGTATTTGGACCAGATGTTCATTGTCCTGGGTCCCCTAGTATTGGAACAGCAAAGTCCGGAAGAGAATCCCTCCAAGTTACAGCTACCAAGTGACAAGAGAGTTGCTGTTGTAAATGTCTTTGGGGATGCAGAATCCCTGCGCTGCCTGAGAAGAACCCTCTTTCTCAGCTCTGGTCCGTTTACATAGCCTCTGGCCTCCTGAGTCAACACAGTCCTGGAATGACATGTATTGAGGCTGGCAGGAGTCCGGCTTGTAGATTATACAACCTCTGCTAATCAGCTGTTCAGACCAGTTAACATTAAAATCCTTGAGACCATTAATAACTAGAGATTATGGAATGTTTGCTTACATTTCTCCAACCTATTAATAACAAGAGTTGAGTACCGTTTCTGTGTTTGATCCACAAAACAGCACTGAGATCATGTTTTAAGTCCGCTGCTCTCGGTCCCACCCTGGTTCTTTGTTTAGAAGCATCAACACTTTTTTTGTGTCCATGGCATATCATGGGCAGCAGAGCTCTCTGCGAGGGCAGCTAGACTAGTCCGATGTCATATCCAATCTAGCAGCACATATATCCTTGTCTTTATAAAAGGCTTTAACCCTGCCTCAAACAATAAAAAAGCACTTGTGAACTGACCGCAGAATTTTTCCATCTTTATTTTTCTTACTTGTTTACTTTTCTTAATGTCAGAACCATTTGTATCATGCGCAGGAATGTCTCCCTCAATGTGAGCTTTGGAAGTAAAAAAATATTTTTGGAGTGAGTTATTGACCACATTGTTTGCCTCTCTTTGGCTTGTTTATTTTCTTCCAGAATAGTATAATAACTTTAATTAAGATTAGCTTTAATTATAATTTACGTAAAGGCCATCACTGTGGTATATTCATCTTATTGATAGGATTAGAGCGACTTGTTTCTCGTAAGCAGGGATAATGATAATGAATCAGTGTTGGGTTGTTTACAACTCCACTGTTTGTTAAGCGAGATCTGCTGTACTAGAGCTAGACTTTGGTCTGCATTGGCAAAGGAGCAAGGCATGTTGTCTGTTTATCTTAAATCTGTGGGGATTTCCCAAATCTTGTTTTTCAGGTTAGAAAATTAGTAAGTAATAAATTTAAAGCTCAGACATATCTCATACCCCCTTCACCCTTGGTTTTTTCTTCCCTTTAGCCTATTCCAGTGAGTTTATCCTTTGAGGATCAGGGTATCTGACATCCCATTTCCCCTACCCTGGGATGCTGATCTGAGTGGTGAGACCCCTGAAAAATATGGCCATTCTGGAGTTCTCTAGAGCCTCAGCAATGTCAACGTGACTATCCTTCTCTCAAGTAACGTAATTTTATAGAACAATTTGTTCTTCTGGGAATAACGTTTTAGGTTGTGGGGAATCCTATTAAAAGTACAACTATTGCAATCATTTGCTTTTACTTTTACCAACCTTGCTCATAAACCCTCCATCTGTTTGTTGCTTTAAATAGCAGCACATTATAAGAGATTATCACTCGATCAGGCTGCATGTCTGAGTGTGGTGTGTTTGCACATATCCATGTATGCTAAAGAATAAAAGAAAGCAAACTTCAGGTTCAGGATGAAAGCATGCGTGTGTGTGTGTGTGTGTGTGTGTGTGTGTTTCCAGCAGAGATGTATCTCACACATTTTTGAAGGGAAAAAGTCTTTCTTGCTGTTTCTAAGAAGTGTCCTGGCTGTCTTTCTCTTCTTTGTTAATATGCAGATCAAAAGCAATCCACAGGACTCTTTTTGTCAAAAAAATAATACTTCTCAGGACTTGCTACCTGTGAGGGCAGCCTAAATCACATCCATGTCACTGCCTGTGGCACAGGAAGGACACACCAGGGCACACTGAGACTGTTCTGTGTCATCTATCCATTGAGCTGATCCAGCATGACCTTTCACTAGCTGCTGTTCCAATTTTGTTTCCAAGAAACCACCTGCACTGAACAAGGGTGTCACTGTCACTTAATCTTGGCCTCTCTAACTTGTCTAAATACCATGTTGTAACCTACTTGGAATAAGAGGGCAGGGAGACCAGAGGAACACAAAGCATTTTGGTCACTTGTTTATATGACAAGGAGGCCATCAGCCCTTACTGCTGTACATATGTTACTGCTTCAGCCACCACTTATGGGATTTCAAGACTATTAAGATGAAACCCACAGTCCAATTATTGTCTTTCTACAAGTTTATCTAAAAATTCCAAGCCTTGCTAGTACTCACTGGGATAATTATAATTTTAAAAATCTATCTGTCATTTTGTGAGTGGGGTGGGTAATGAATTTTATTTGTATACATTTACATATTAGTAGATGACAGTTAATTAAATAATTAATAACATATTGTTATTTTAAAGTAGCATAGAATGTGAGCCAAAGCACAACCAGGATAAGGGAATTTTGCTAAGAAAGAGAGGAAGAAGTCTTAAGTATAATATGTGTACGGTGGAGAAATGTTAGTAGAATTGATATAAATGGCAAAAAGTGGAATTATGCTGAAGGAGAGGACAAAGAAAATTTAAAATTGGAATCTTGGTGGATAGGGATACATCGGAAGATAAGAGAATGAGGAAAAAAGAAGCAATTTTCTGCTAATTAAAAAAGGCTTGCTGTGGTTCTCTCTAAAGTCATGATTAGGAATATTTTTCTCTCAAAATGAGATTATCTTTGATGTGAATGAGTGCTGCCACTTCTTAATGTTTTGTAAGTTATTCTGCTCTGACAATAAAAGGTGGAAAAGATACATCACAAGGTGCTATGAGAACACATGATCATATGTGTGATGGTTGAATATGGACAAAGACGACTATGGCTTGTGCCTAATATTCCAAAACAACCAGCATCCTAAGGTACATTCCCAGCTACTGGGCTGTCTGAACGATAAGGAGGAGATTTAGGGACTGGGCAATAAGATCCAAGGGAAAGAGCAGTCTCGTGTTTCTGCCACACCTTTATAAGTCCATTAAGTTCTGGGGTTGATGGACATCTTGACAAGACAACAACAGAAAAGGAAACACATTTAAGGAAAAAGATGAAGTCTGCTGTATGACTGTACCTGCATACGGATAACCTGAATTAACATGCAGATTATCCTAGGAAAAATGTTCACGTTTTGTCCTATCAATTACTGTAAATCAGTCCTTCCTTCACCTCAGAATAATTCTTTTGATATTAAAAATATGAATGAATTTGAAAGGCAGTATGGATAATTTCCTTTAAATGCTAACTTTACAATATGAATGAACAAAGAGAGTCTGGGCTATGGTAGTGGACCTAACCACACCTTTAGGCTATTCCAGTCATGTCAAAACTAAGATACGTGAATTATTTATAAAAGTTAAATATATTGTATCATAGTTGAAATAATAATGAAAAGCTACTATCGGATAAATTCCACTTGATGCAAGATATAAATGAGTTTAACACCTAGGTAGGTGTGATGTTTTAATTTTCATGTTTTTATTGTTTAACTTAATCTTTAATTTAAAAATAGTACTCTGACTTCCAACCCTCAATTAAAGTTTTTAAAGGAAGTAGTTATAATAGAAACAGCTTTTGTGTACATAATATAACTTAAGACAGTAACAGCGACAGCCACAAAATCCTCTAAAAATGTTTTACTAATTACTTGGTTTATCAGAAAAAACTATTATGTCTTTCTAAGAAGCAAAGAGAGACAAGATGGAGAGCAAAAGAAGGAAAGACAGACTAGTCCTGTTTTTGAGATTGTAAAATAATTTTCTAACTTTTCTCTGGACTCCAAAATAAATTAGCACTTACTTGCTGTTACCATGCTACATGGAAAAATGCATCTGTTTTATAACTAATTAACTAATACCTACTTTATGTCTTGTTTTCATATGAATTTATGACCTAAAATTATGGGAGGTTTTTTGGTTTAGTTTTGTTTTGTTTTTTGCAGTACCAGGGATCAAACTCAGGACCTTGCATTTGCTAGGCAGACGCTCGTGCCACTGAGGTATATCCCCAGCTGATCTAAAATTATGACATGCTCACAATACCGCATTTCACTGTATACCATAGAGCTGCAGTAACCAAAACAGTATGGTACAGGCATAATTCTAGACACATAGACCAATGAAACAGAGTAGACACCCCAGAAATAAATCTGTGCATCAATGGGCAACTAAATCTTGATAAAGGTACCAAAAGTATACATTGTGAGAAGAGCCATTCCTTTGATAAATGATGCTGGTATACTCATCACTTCCTTGTTTTTAGGAAAAATACGTGACACACAAAAGTTGAAGGAGAAAGGATTTATCTTTGTTCATAATTTCAGATGTTTTAGTCCATGGTCAACCATCTACAAGGAAGAATGAACATGATAGAATGGCATGGAAGAAGAAGGCTGCTTACCCATTGTGCCAGCCGAGAAGCAGAGTGGGAGGAAAGGCGACAGATAGAAAGAAAGGCCCTGGGGACAAGACTACAACCTTTTAATTTACATTACAACATCAGTGGCCTACTTCCTCTGACCAGGCAGACCCTACCCACTGATAGCACATCCAATTGTAATCTCCTCAGTGGGTCAATCTGCAGATGAATTTAGTACTTCCATGATCTAATCACCTTACAAAATCTCCACCTCTGAAGACAGGCGCCTATGAGGGACCTTTTTGTTCCAAACCATAACAGGTTAGAAAATAGGATATCCATATGCAGAAGACCCAAATTAGATGCCTGTCCCTCATGTAATACAAAGAGCAACTTACGATAAATGGAAGACCTAAAATAAGACTTGAAACTATGAAACTAATAGAAAAAACAAAGGAAACATTTTGAAACAATGGTACAAGAAAATATTTTTGGATATGACCCCCAGACACATAGCCAACCAAAGCCAAAATAGGCAAATGGGTTTAGGTCAAACTATGAAACTTCTAAACAGCAAAGGAAACAAATAACAGAATGAAGAGACAACCTATAGAATGGAAGAAAAATTTGGAAACAATTAATTTGACAAAAATTAATTTCCAGAATATATAAACAACCCTGAAAATTTAACAAATAAAACATCATTGATCCAATCGAAATAGACAGATGACTTGAATAGATATTTTTCAAACAATGAAACATAAATGGTCAAAAATACATGCAAAATTGCTTAATATCATTATACTTAGGGAAATACAAGTCAAAACTACAGTGAGTTATTGGGTCACCCCAATTGGCATTGCTATCATCAAAGAGACAAAAACTAACAAATGCTAGATAGATTGCAGAGAAAGGCAGACACTTCTCATTCACTGTTGGTGGTCATATAAATTAGAACAATATGCAAGTTCCTTTAAAAACTAAAAAATTAATATATAATCCAGCTACCTGACTTTTGGGTATACATTCCAAGAAATGAAGTCAGCATATCAAAAAGATATGCTGCATTCCAACATTTATTCCAGGGCTGTTCACAACAACCAAGAAGTGAAATCACCTAAGTACCCATCAATGAATGAATGGATAAAGATTTCATATATAGATACAGTGGAATATTATTTGGCCATAAAGAAATATAAAATGCTGTCACCTTTTAATAAGATGGATGGATGGGACTGGAGGATATTATATTATGTGAAATTATCCAGACGTAGAAAGACAAATAC